AGTGGCCTTCGAGTGCATTTGGCAGATGACTACTATTTTGTGGGAATAATGATTGCAGTTGCCCTACTTCAAAATGGTCAACTACCAACTTACATGCCATCAGATGTCATTGAGCAACTAGCAACACTATCAAGTAATGAGTGCATTGCCAATATCCAACGGGGGTTAAACACATGTGGTTTGTCTCACATTTTTCAGTGTTTCCCAACTGTTCTCCAGCTGCTACGCCCACGCAAGAAGMAGCTGACACCAAAGATCCTACTTCATCTACTAACCCCAGAGTTTTCTGAAGAAGGGTCCACAGCACTTATAYGGGAAAAGGAAGTGTATACCTTATTTGTTAAGTATGTGCGAGAAACTGGAAGCGGGCGTAGAGCACCAGTTACTCTGGAGTCAATTCTAATATTTGTCACAGGGGCTTCAGAAGAACCAGTCCTTGGGTTTGTTATCTCCYCATGTATAAGGTTTGCAAAGGTAAGGAAAACAGTATCCTTCAGAGATACATACAGCATACTAAATTTAGTTGTACCACTGTCCTCTTCAACTGTGCAAATGAATATTGAAACTCAACACAGTAAGAGAGCATTCATTTTTAGGAGGGGGAGCTGTATGAATCAGGGAGGGAGTCATTGAATTTTTACAAGTAAAAAGGTCATTTATTTATTCCATATAATTACATATACATGTATATTATTTTATGGTTGTTTTTCAAAACTTAGATAGCGGGTATCATTTTGAAATTTCACAGCTAAGTTAAGGGGGTTAGAATTTAGCACATGTCACATGCAAGTTTTCACATGTGTTCCTTTCCATTTTTTTGTTTTATCTACAGGATGACGGTGCACTGGAATCAGTACCATACCAATACATACCTACAGCACAAACGTGCACAAATGTTCTGCAGTTGCCTATTGGGTCATTGCAGTCAAAGCTACCAAGCAGTACAAGCCTCTTTGAAGTTTATGACATGGCCTTTGCCAATACACATTTTGGCACTGTATGAGAAATATGCTCAATTTCAAATGTCTTTTAATTTTAGGCAAACATTTAAGCCCCTTTAAGACTTCAACAAAGAGTTCATGTTCATAGATTGTTTAGATTGTTATCTCATGTTATTACAAGTGC